CCAAATGGTGGCAACAGCCACGCTTCTCCCTGGACGCGGGCATCAAGCCGCAGGACGTGCACTCGAGGAGTCGCCCGCGAAGCTTGGGAGTCATCGTCGCGCGGTCCTCGGTGACCTTCTCGTCGTCCTCGGTGACTCCCTGCTCCTCGTCCGCCATCACCAACGGCACGAAGGTCAAGGCCGACACTGATGGTCCGCCGGGGTGCACTGAAAACGCCGAGTTTCGATTGGTTTCTTTTTTCGCACTTTGGGCCTTGTAGGGTTAGCCTTGTAGGGTTGCGAGGCAGGTGAGAGCGAATGGCGCGGTTCACGTCTCGCACAACACACACAGAGAGAGAGAGAGACTAGGAGGAGAGAGAGATGCGTGCGGTCTGCATGGTGGGACATAAACATGTATCGCGCGCCTAAATAAAAGAGAGCGAGTACTTGGACGAGTAGGCCGTGCGGTCAACGCTGCCGCGCGCGACTTTGCGCGCGAGGCGGCGCAGCTTGAGAACGGCGGTGGGCGAGAAGCCGCCGCCGAACGTCTCGTGGTGTCGTGGAGCAGCAGTTTTGCGCAGTGTCCCGCGTCCACCCAATCCCATAGCCATACCGCGCGTTGGTGTCCAGTCCGAGCCTGACTGTGTCTTCATCTCCCTACCTAACTAAGGCGATGACAACGAGCACTGGTCAGGCAACAGTCGAGATGGGGTTCGGGGTCACACTCCAAGCTCCAACAAGGGGTACATTCGAGGACCACTTCGCGCCCACTTCGCTCTTCGACCCAAGCAGCACACTCAAGCCGACACGCTGCTCGTGGTCATGCCGCCGCCCTTCCCTTTGCTCGCCGGCGCACCACAGAGCGGCTTGAGCCCTGGCAGAATGTGGCCACCGTACTCCTCGTTGATAAGCTTATACGGCGGCGGCGGCGGCACGGCGGAGGAGGCGGGCATGGCGAGTTACCTGGGGCAGAAAGGCGCCTCTTGGCGTGCGGAAAAAAGAATTTATTGTTTTTTCCAACCAGGGTTTAGAGTGACACCCAGCGAGGGGCAGACCTCTCAATGATGGACGAGCCATGGCGCCTGACAGGCGAGTATATCTCGCGGGCTATAGCCTGGGCGCGAGAGCCGAGCACTATGGGTGGCGGGGGACATTTGCTTCGCAGAGCGCTCCTCAGGATACGGCAGTGCTGTCCGGGATGTGTGATGATCGACCTACAGGTGACACGATCGAGTCGCTGATCGACAGCATCGGAGTGGGTGTTTCAGAGGTATTGCGGCGGTGACGATCCGGCGGCAGGCGAGGCTGCCGTGAGAGAGTCTAGTGTGACGCCCAGCGAGGGGCGTGCCTCTCCATGACCGAATGCGCGGGTGCGCATTCACACTTTCCAACTCCGAGATATTACGTCACGTAAAAGCAACTCGATTGCTTTTACGTGATTACGCGGCGCGCGGCTATACGGAATACGCGCCGAGAGCGCGGATATATTTGCTATTTGGGAGCTATCGCGATTGCATCGCTATTTCGGGCGTATCGGCGCGCCGACGGTCGCCGAAGTGTTGTAGTCTATTCCTGAACAACTTTTGTCAGTCACCAAGGGCCGCGCGCGCCGCGCGGCTCCTCCTTACCGCCCACGCACCCGACGGTGCGTGGAGCACTATGGTTGCGGCGGCCACCGGGGCCAGCCCGCCAGCGCACAATTTGAGCCCAACACGCGACGACGCATCGTCGAAACCGATGCTGTTCCCGCACGGAACCGCGACGGCACCTCACCTTGCACAGAAATGGATTGAGCAAACGCGCTCCCTTCTGGACAAAGAGGGCCACGGCCCTGCCCTGGACAACAAGTGGGCGGGCCACACCCTCTCGCAGTACCCGGTTGCCCGGGTCGACGACTACTCGAGGCTGTCCCAAGGCGAGGAAGCGGGCCGATCGACTGCGCATCCTGGTCGGTGTAGAAGAGCAGCGTGTCGCGCATCTCCTCCACACCGATGCTCGTCTCGGTCGGGTGGCCCATCACGGAGGCGCCGTCATCGAATGCGGCGGCTGTCATCGGCCCGCCGGGCCCTTCGCCGCCACACGTGCCCGATGGAGGCTCGAGGCGAATGCACACCACATCGCCGCGGATGCCGCGCTTGGGCAGGCCGCCAATGTCATTCGGGTAGGCGGTGAACGCGCGCATCGCAAAGTGATTGATCGGCGAGGCGGTGTCCGCGGCATCAAAGTAGCAGTACAGGTCCGGATAGGTGGCGTCTCTGGTGTACGCCTTCAGGCCGCGCACAGTTTTCCAGCCGCGAGTCGTCTTTAGCAGCGCCACCTCGTCCGACTCCTTCGAGAGCGGCAGGCCGTCGGTGGCCACGTGCACAGGAATGGCGTCGCGGGCAGCCGCAAGCGGAGCAGGCTTCACTTCGAGGCAGCGACCTCGCTGTTGAGACTCTGGTGGCGGCCGCGTGAGCACGGTGATGTTGACAGGCTTGAGCGCGATGGTGAGCCCGTCGCGCTGCCGTCCGACGTCAGATCGTGGAGTTGTTGTAAAATTCTTTGCTCCTTTGGTACTGTGACATACCTGTGTCGAACCTGGTGGTTACCACGGAATTCTTTTTTTGTAAACTTCTTCCTAATGGCAGTGCGCATGTAACATCCGGAAGCATGGCAGACCTGCAGTCAAGCGCGTCGCAGTCGCAGGAGCCATACGTGGGCGCCCGCGTCAAACTCCACGATCTGGCCGCACGGCCCGAGCTGCGCCGACTCGATTTTTCGCGGCCTGCGCCGGAGAGTTGGCGGTCGTGCGCTGGGTGGTAATCGTCATCTGTCTGCTCTGCTGTGCTTCTCGCTCGTGCGTCCTTGCAACTTGTGCTGACCTCCTTCACCTCCTGCTCTCCTATGCCACGTGGCTGTGTGTGTTTGGGTTTCTGAGATTGTAGACCCTCTCCGGTCCACATCCGGAAATTGGCGTTCTAGTTAGCACTGCTGCTGCAGACAGGGGGCCCGCGCGACCCCATGCCCTTCCCGGATCTCGTGTCCCCGATGACCGAGCCGCCACGCTGTGGGCGAGGGGGGGGGGGGGGGGTAGCTAGACGCGGAAGGAGGCAAGCACACTTGCTTAGTCCCCAGTCTCGGGGTCCCACCGCCCGTCCTCCCGGGGCTGGCAGCTCCGATTCCCCCCGATTCGCTCTTTTGCTCGTCTGCCTACATACAAGCGAAAATACAACAGCGGGAAGACTCACAGCTCACACGCTTACGCTTTTTTTCATTTTTTGCCTACCATGGGCGAGGGAACCCGGGACAGTGCGAGCTGGGGCGAGCCATTCCGAGGTGATCTGCACGGTCGGTCAACGTGTCGTCAACATTCCTTCCCACCCAGCGAGCGGCGGCGAGACCGTGTGTGAGCGGTGCACTTGGAGCACTTGGAGTGCGGTCATCAACCGCACGTCCAGGGCCGGGGAGCTAAGAAGCGCACCCAGCGGGCCGGACGATTGTCATCGGGTTAATTACGTGCCCTTTAGGCAGAGACTTGGAGCACTTGGTGTGCAGTTAGCAACCGCACATCCAGGGCCGGGGAGCTAAGAAGCGCACCCAGCGGGCCGGATGATTGGCATCGGGTTACGGGCAAGAAAGCCCTAGCCCTGGGGGTGCGCGTTCGCAGGGAAAGAAAGGGCCTAAAGTAAACACGGGTCCCCGAGGGTTAGCTCTGCGCTCCGGCTTTTCCCTAGCAGCGGAACGCCCCCTCTACTCGGGGCTAGTAGACACCAGACACTAGCACGACAACACACACATTCCTCACTGACATCACCGCTCGGAACCCCCCGCTCCGCGCACGGTCTCCTCACCCCCCCTCCGAGGGGGGCCCTCCCTCCCCTCGGTCCTCCCTCCTGTTCGCCTTCCGAGGTGGTTACGCGACGACTGTGGGGCCCGACCTCCCCTCCTAGCCTTCTTTGGCCGCGGCCCCGCCACCGTTTCGTCCTCTCTGCCCGAAAAAGAAAGAAAGAAAACAGACAAGCCAAGGGAGGGATGCGGATGGGAGGACGGCACGCCGCCACCACACACAGGGATTTTAAGGAGAGGTGTGTGGTGCGCTAGCCGTCGCCCACCCTAGGGAGTCTGCCTCTTCCTATCTCTCTTCGCAGTCTCTCGCCGCCGGCGAAGGATTTTTTTCCCGCTGCCGCCCTTTGAAGCTCACTCAGCGGGGGGGGCCCGGTGTTTGCCTCGCCCTTTCGCCCCTCGCCTCCTCCTCCCTCCCTGCCGCCTCCCCCGCACCACCTCCTCCATGCCCTTCGCCTCCTCCTCCGCCGCCGCCTCGCTCACCGCCGCCACCGCCGCCGCCGTCCCAGGAGCATGAAGCTCGACACGTACGGCGAATACGTCCGCCGGGTCGTGGACACGCTCACAGCCTTTGAGGACGAGCTCATCGCCACCAGCGGCTTCTTCGGGCGAGAGGAGCACCTCGAGTCGTGCATCCAGGGCGTGCAGTCGGAGTTTGAGTCCAACGCGCGCGCCATCGCGGTCTTCGCGGCGCCCGAGGCGCTCTCCGCCCTTGTCGGCACGCTCCTCAGCGCGGAGGACCCCCGACCTGCCGACGCGCCAAAGGAGGGGCGCCGCTTTGAGGACGCCTTTGCCGCCGCCGTGCTGCTCTCCTCCTCCATCGGCACGCGCGGGCTGCTGCGCAACCCGACGGTCCTCTCGCGAATGTGGCAGTTCGTCGAGCGGCCGGAGCGCCACCCCGTGCTGCTCTACTACTGGTGCCGCTGCGCCGCGGCGCTCCTCCTCTCCCCCGAGGGGTCCGGCGGGCTCGGCGCCGCAATCTCGTGAGCGCCTCCCCGGCCGCTTCCCTCCCTCCGCTCCCCCCTCCGCCGATCCAGATCGCGCCCGTCGCCGCCCCGCCCCGATGCCCCGCCCCGATGCCCCGCCCCGATGCCCCGCCCCGTCCCATCCCGACCCGCCTCCCGCCGCGCCGCAGTGCGCTCGGGCTGCCGCGGCTGCTGCTCTCCCTCGTGCCTCACCTGCACTGCGAGGCCGTGAGGATGCTCCTCAAAAACGTCATCGGGCTGGGCGGGCAGGCGGGGCTGGGGGAGGAGGGGGCGGTGCCGCTGCAGCTCGCGCTGGTGGGGGAGCAGTCCATCCTGCCCAGCCTGATGCGCCTGATGGAGGGTGGCGGCGACGCCTCCCTCGACGCCGCGGAGCTTCTCTGCTGCGTGCTCGAGGCGGCGTCGATGCGGGCGGACGGCGCGCGGCTACTCACGCTTGTGGCGCGGCCCTTCCTCCCGCTCTTCACGCGGGCGGTCGCCGCGGGCGACTGCGCCGCGCACCGCCGCCGCCAGTCGCAGATTGCCCTCCTCTCCCTCGGCGCCGCCGCGCTCGCCGCTGAGCAAGCGTGTGGAGACGCAGAGGCGGGGCCAGGCGGAGAGGGCGCGCCCCAGGCCGCTCCGAGGGTGGCTGGGGCGGTGGCGGCGCTGCTCGGCCCGCTCTCGCGGCTGCTGGCGCACGGCTCTTGCGAGGTTGCCCGCGCCGCCGCCCGCTTGTGGTCCTCTTTCCTCGACTCAGCGCCGCAAGAGCTGCTCGGCTGCCGCGGCAGCTGCTCGGCTGCGCTGGTCACGGCCGAGCTCTTCACGCGGGTGGATCGGAACGGGGGCGGGCGGCAGGACATGCTGCGGCACGCCCTCCTCAAGGCGCTGGTCTCCGCGCTGCGCTGCGACGACGCCCGCCTCGGCGCCGCCATCCTGAAGTCGGCAAAGCTGCTGCCGCGGCTCGAGCGCAATTTGCTCATGCGGGAGGGAGCGGGCGGCAAGGCTTCGCGCTGCTCGCCGGAGCACGCGAGGCTGCTCGTGCTCGAGATCGCGGCGATCGGGCGCACCGCCGCGCTCGCGCCGCACCTGGCTCGCTCCGCCGAGTGGCGCCGCATCGGCACCATCGTCGGCGTCGAGCTCGGCGGCGGTGCAGCCGAGGGCGGGCATGCGTGCGAGCCGCGCGAGGCGTCCCCCTCCTCGTCGGGCGACGAGGAGGACTACGCGTCCGCGCCGGAGGCGGAGGCCGAGGTGGGCGAGGCGGGCGGCGACGAGCCGACCGGCGCGGAGAACGTGCCGCCCCACCGGTCGCCCGAGGGGGTCGGTCCCACTTCGCCAGTGAGCCCGAAGCTGGCCGCGGCCGCGCCGCCGCCCGCGCGCGAGGGGGAGGAGGATTTCGTCATCGACAACAACTCGCTCCGCTCCTCGGACGACTTTTCGAAGCTGACTCCGCGGCCGAGCTTCGAGCGCCGCTCCGTCCTCCACCGAAAGGCAAAGGAGAGCTCGCCCTACTACCGCAAGGATGGCGACGGCCGATCCGCCCCAGACGCGCCGGCCCAAGAAGACGCCGCCATCTCCGCGCTCAACGAGACCGTCAAGGCGCTGAGCTTTTGACGGCGTCGCTGGGCGCCAGAGGGACCAGAGGCTGCGTTTGATCAGGGAGGTCGGGCTTGTAGCGGCGACCCCCTTCAAACTCTATCCGCTCTGCACGCGTGTTCGGTGTTGTTGTGTCGCGGCATCGGTCTCCGGACTCCGCTATCTCTCGGGTCATCACACACATCTCACAAGAATCGAGAGAGCCCCTTTTCTGCAAGCTGGAATAGTCAAGAGAACGTGACACGCAAGAGTCAAGAGACCGCGAGATCCGTGGTCGTGAACACCGCACACGACACACAGCACTCTAGGATGTAGGAACAGCACTGAGCACACACCGCGGGGGGGACCTTGCAGTGCAAGGTTGCAGACCGGCCATCCGCCCCTCTCTCACCGTGATCCCTGTGGCTGTGCGGGGGGCGCGCGGCACCGCGGCGAGGCGCGAGGGCCGAGGCTGCGGCGCGTCGTCGTCGGCAGCGCGGATGCTCGCCCGGCCGGTCGGCCCTCGAGACCTCACAGTGGCGGCCGCCTCTGACAGCGGCGGCAGCCTCCCACGCTGGCCACGCATCATGCTGCGCTTCGCGGCAATCGCGTAACGGGAGGCTCGCTGGCTTTTTGTGGCTTTTTCGACGGCTTTTTTGGATTCTCCCGCCCTCCAACCCCTCTCTTGGATTTTTTTTGCGATTTTTCACTTGTTTTCATGGGAATTCGGCGTCCTTGCGGCCATGCTATCACGCCTTGCGACAGCCTGTCGGCGCTGCTGACCGTGCCATGCTGCACAATTGATCACCTGCATAGCTCGCGGCCTTAGTATCAAGCATTTAGTGACAACCTGATCGTACGGCCAGTAGGAAGGTGTCCTTCCAATGTGTGCACTCTTCTGACGCAATGCGCGTCACAAACTGCCTCAGATTGGCTGCTGGCACTCTCGAGGCTATGCCTACACAGCCTCGCGCGCATGGGCAGTCAAGAGGGACCATGCACCTTCTCAGGACAGCGCCGGTGCCTCTCTCTTGGACCGGCAAACTTGGTGGTCTCGTGTTACCAATGTGGGACCAGTGCGGCATTGCGCCATCGACAGCTCTGAACTGCGCATCACCACTGACCGGGAAGGCCGCCAAGTGGGCCAGCACCGGTCGCACATTGTGGCAGCAGTCAGCAGTGCATGTCTGATAGCTAGAGCAGCAGCGTCAGGGTCTCGCAGGGTCGGATCGTGTCAAGCCTCTCGCCCGGCCGGCCGCGTGCAGACGTCGGCCTGTCTGCTGTCTTGAGTTATCTGTCGGCGGTCAGTACGACCGATCAGGTCGGAGTTTGCTGATGATTGGAGGGTCTATCTGTATGTACTCCTCGAGATCTCTCCAAATCTGCCCTCTGTTAGACCGGGTTAGATCGGGAAGTTGGTAGTATGAGCGAGTATGAGCGCCGGAGCCCCGTTTCCCTCCGTTTGCGTTTCCGCTCTGCTGCGCGGCGCACAGTGCCTCCGGGGGCCCCCGCGCCCCCCCAGAGCTCGCAGTCGCACACCGACCACACACACCGTTGGCGTTGCTTCGGGGCCTTGGCGTACCGCTTCGCTTGTCATGTGGTTGTGCTACTGGGCCCGAGGCGGAAATCGCGCTTCACCTTCAGAGTACTGAGTGCAGTACGACGACGCAAGAATGTGCCTCCATATGTTTGTGCAGAGTGCAACACTTCAAGATTCACTTTCTCGCGCGAGAGCGACCACACACAGACACACCTATCGTATCGCAGAGCGTCACACACGCGCCGAGACGCGCCGCGAGGTCATCTCACTCGTCGGCGCCGCCGCCCTGCCCTAACACGGCGTCTTTGAGAAGCTGCGCTAAGTCGGCCGCCTTTTGCATGAGCACCTTGGCCGCCTCGCAAAACAGCTCCTCTGGCGGCAGAATGCCGGTCGACTCGACCGAGAAGATGAAGTGGTCGCGCACGCGCGAGCACTGCACCCGATGCTCCCACCCCGGCACCGCGCCGCCGTGCCGCCCCGGCATCGAGCACGCCCGCGGCCGCGTCGCCACCGACGGCGGCGCGGCGCCCTCCGCCGCGTCGAAGATGGACGGCGCGGCCGCAGGCGGCGCCTCGGCCGTGTCGGCGTCGCGCGCGCGCGCGGGCTTGACCCGGATCTCGGGTAGCAGGCGGTACGAGGCGGTGGCGACGGGCGACCACTTGGAGTGCGTCTTGCCGATCCCCTTCTCGCACCACGCCTCGAGCACGATCTCTTGACCCGGCCGCAGCTTTGCGATCAGGATGTCGTCGTGCACCGGCTTGATCTCGCGCTCGCGGAAGCGCTCCTCCTGGTCGCCCTGCGGGATCCACTGCAGGTGGCTGGAGAGGACGCGCGAGTTTACCATCTCGCTCGACCCGGGATCGTCCTTGTTGCCTCGCGTGCACTTGATCTCGAGCCGGAATGCGATGACGTGATGCTCGTCCGGGTCCTCATCGCCGACACGCTCGCGGAAGAGGCGCGGGTCGGCGCGGATGGGGATGAGGCCGAGCCGGTGCGCGAGGACCTCGTCCTCTGTCATCGACGTGTTGTTGAGAATAAACACCTTGTCGATTGCCATCGCAGGCACCTCAGAGAGCAGGATCCGCCGAAAGGCGTTGGCAATGGCCGCGTCGATCCCGATCACGTCAAAGACAATCTCTTCCTCGTCGAGCTGCTGCACCTCGATGCGAAGGTCGCGGCGGAAGCGCTCCATCGAGAAGGAGTTGTCGACGCCTGACGCAAAGTAGGCGCCAGCCGCCTCGACTGTCGCAGTCATCCGCGGCGCGTCCTCATGGATCGAGACGCGCGTGCGCTGCTCCTCCACGTGGGCAGGGAGCGTGCCGTCGCTCACGTGCGGTAGCGGCATGTGGAAGCGTGGTATGGCGCCAAGCACCACACCGACGCGTGCCCGCCCGCGTCGCCGGGTCGAGTTCGGACTTTTTGCGGGTATGGTATGGTGCGATTAGCATTACCTAGCCTAACCTAACCCACCTCGAGACCATACCCCCCCGCCTGCTGACAGACCCAGCCTCCCGGAGACCGGGAATGGGCGGTAAGGACACCCCCACCCCTTGGGCCGTGAGAGTACCATACCATACCCCGGAAAAAGTTGGTTGGAACCCAGGCATAGTGGCAAAAAGAATTCAGAGTAACGCGGCAAAAAGAACTTTACCAGGACTCTCTCCTGCAAAAAGAACTCTTGGCCGCTCCACAGCTTGCAAAAGAATTTGCAGGGCAAGAGGTGCACAGGGGCGGTGTGGCAGCTCCGGCGCACGAGATATGGCATGGGGCATTCAAATTAATCCGATATCACATTAGTCATCAATTTGGCCCGTGAGGAGACTCGCAAGGTACATCATCGCTCCACACGACAGTCGACACCGCCGGGCGGCGCACAGCGCACAGCCACGCACAAGCCGCGGCAGTCACAAATAGAACTAAGCAGAAACTCTTTTTCTGAACTTCGACGAACACAATCTTCGTAAAAAAATCGTCGACACTTGCTACCTCCAGTATCGTAGTCTTTGTTAGTATCGAGGTCTCGTGAGTTTTGGCACTGATCTTTCTGGCCGCGTCCCTCCCCTGTCCTCTCGACTGCACTCCTCTTATTTACATACATAAATGCCCGCCGCGCACCAAGCTGCAGAACATGTGCGAACCAGTGCCTATGACGCTCAAGGAGTAGGCGCGGAGCGCCGCGCGCGGAGCGCGCCCCGAAGAAAATTTTGAGGGTTGTGGAGGGCTAGATGCGATTTCTATTAAGAGTTTGACTCACACGCAGGAACCACAATCGGCCCACCCACAGGCCCAATCTCGAGTGGCGGCGCTCCGCGCCTACCCATGCAGCGGCGCGCTCCGCGCGACCGTGGGGTCTGGTCATGACGCGGAAGAAGGCAGAGACACAGCGTCTGCCAGCCGAGTGCTACGACGTCAGGCCGAAGCCGCGTGGCCACAACTGACTGCAACAGACTGTCTTCATGTGTCTAGACTCTACCGCGGTGCGCTCCGCGCACATAGGTGCCAGCGCGCTCCGCGCGGTATCTAGCCAGCGCGCTCCGCGCGTGTGTGTCTAGCTAGCGCGCTCCGCGCGTGCGGTGTCCAGACTCTAGCGCGCTCCGCGCGTGTCCGGGTAGAGCACCGGCGCGCTCCGCGCGCATGAGAATCCAGTGCTTATGCTCCTAAGCACTAAAAGCTCGTTTCTGCAGCTTGGGCCGCGCAAGAGACACTGCTATTCAGGTATTCTGCTTCTGGCAGAACGACGGTTCTGCTTTTGGTCGCGAAACACCATCTCGACCCACTCTTCCGCCAACGCCGCCACCACAATGTCAATGACCTCGACAGACGACACTCTTAGAGGCCAAAGAGCGACCCCGCCCCCAGCCCTGTTCTCCCTCTCACATGCAGACTGTGCCCCGCCCCGTGTCCTGCTGCGGCTCCCGCTAACTGCTCGCGGGCGCGAGCGCCGCCATCTCGGCGCTCAGCTCCTCGTACGCCTCCTTGAAGTCGGCGGCACACGTCACGAGCACAATCGAAGTGGGCCGCTTGGTGAGCGACGCCTATGGGAGAGGGGTCGGGATTCGGCCCCAGCGGCCGCCAGCCACTCCCCACGGGCAAGGCTCGGCGCGCGCCTGCCCCAGCTCCTCCTTCGAAGGCACGTAGCAGTAGGGCACTGCCTTCTCCTCGCATAGGATCGGGACGTGCGCAATCACGTCAATGGGCGAGATGTTACCTGCGGAGGGGCGGGACCTTGGCGCGCACGCACCTCGCGCACCCACCACACGCGAACTGTCGGCGCGCCTGCGATGATGCACAAGCCCTTGGTGTCCTTCTTCAGCGCCTTGACCACCTCCTTGACACCGCGCCGCAGCGTCTTGGCGCCGGACGCCTTTTTGATGCACTTGAGCGCCTGCCCGGGCCAGTTTCCAGGTTTCCCGACGAAAGGGAAGGGCTGCACCGCGTCACAACACTGGCGCGCGCGCGCACACACACACACACACACAGAGGCGCGGAGGCGCGGAGGCGCCTTTTTCGTCAGCTTTTTGCCCGCAAGTGGGCTGGCGATCGGAGACAGGAAGACCTGCTTCTTGCTGCCGTCCTCGGCGTCGTCGTCGTCCTCGACCTCCTTCTTCTTCTCAGACTTGTCTTTCTTGCCCATCTGGGAGCGACAACGCTTGCGATTCGCCTGCCGTGCCGGGCGCGAGGCCCCGGGCTGAAAGAATTTTCCGCAAGCTGGAAAAGAATTTCTAAGCACAGTGAGGTGTGCTGTGGCGACATCCGACATGCGGCAACACGTGCCATTTCCTTTATCGTTAAGGCAAGGCTTGGTTATAAAAAAGAATCCGCGGCGAGTCTCCTTGTGCGCGGTGGAACTGAGTGTGCTGTGGCGACCCCGTGGCCGTGCACACACATGCACATCTGACGGACCTTTCACGATAAAACGCCCACGCGCCCGGCTGCACGCGGTGAGTGCCCACACCCCTCTGAAAATCGTTCGCTCACCGGACACAGACGCTCACAGAGCAGAGGTATACGCGACTCAGGGTGGCGCCGCCCCAGCCTCCACCGCGCGGCTGAACCACGACTTGCACTCTCGCCCCTCGTCCCGCCCGTCGAACTCGGCGGGCGGCCCAAACTCGACGCTCACGTGCTCGCCGTCCACCTTGCGGGTCGACTCGAGCTTCAGGCAGTGCCTGTCCTTGAGCCTCACCGTGTGGAAGCTGTTTGCAAAGTCGGCAAAGACGGCGCCGGCCGGCGCGACCTCGGAGCCGGAGGTAGAGGTTAATTAATGACTTAGTTACCATGTGAATTATCGCAGGCGCGACCTCGGAGCCGGAGGAGAGGTTAATTAATTACTTAGTTACCATGTGAATTATCGCAGGCGCGACCTCGGAGCCGGAGGAGCGAGTCACGCCCCAGGTGCCGTCGCCCCACGGAGTGATGAGCTGGCCGCCGCGCATGAAGCCGAGCGGAAACATGCCAGCCCAGGACCTGGCGGTGGCGGGGGCCGTGTCTCGGGCGGCGGGAGGAGGAGGAGGAGGGGGGGGGGGGGGAGGAGGAGGAGGAGGGGGGGGAAGGGGGGGGGGGGGGGGAGCCCCCCACGGGCCAAAACCGGCCAGCTTTTCCACAAGGGAGAATTTAGGGTCGCCCGCCTCGCCCGCCGCCTCGAGGCCGGCGCCGAAGCCGGCCGCATGCAAGGTCGGGTCGAGGGGGTGGAGCTGCGCCGCCCGCTGCGAGGCCGTGCTGAGCGACCCCGAAGCGGCGGGGCCCGGCTCGGCCTCCGCTGCGGCCCCTCCCGGCGCTGTGCTCTCGAGCCGCGCCGCAAAGGACCACGGCGCGGCCGGGTCGGCAAAGGCCAGCCTGCACACGGCGCACCTCGGTGTGATCGCAGGTCTTTCTCGAGTCGCAAGCCGCTCGCCCTCGGCAACGGCCCGCCGGTACACGCGGCCGCACATAGTCAGGCGCACGCTGCCGTCCGGCTGCTCCCGCCACGAGCCTAACCCGTCATTGATTAAGACCTCGCCGAGTCAATTTTGAATCCAGATCCTGCCCCCGCCACGAGCCTCGGCCGACGTTGTGCGCGTCGGCGGAGCGCGGCCCGTCGCCGTTGTTGATGTACGCGACGCCGCGCGAGAAGAAGTAGAGGGCCTCGCGGAGAAGGGGGCGCGGTGACCGGTGGCTGTGAGAGAGACTGTTGGTGGTCGTGGTCGGAGGGGGGGGAGCGCCTTGAGCCGCCCCCACGCCCACGGGCCGGTGCCAACGAGAAGGTCGGACACGCCTCCGCGCTTGGCGACGGGCAGCTGCAGCAGCTTCGCAAAGGGCGAGCCTGGGGGTGGGGGATGGGGAGAGGGGGGGGGGAGGTGTGTGTGTGTGTGTGGGGGGGGGGGGGGGGGGGGGGCTCTTCCCCCTCTTGCTCACCGGCGTGCGGGTCTTCGGCGATGGGCTCGACTCTCCGCGGCCAGTTGGAGATCTGCTGCGCCGCCTCGGTCCAGAGGTTGGTGATGATCTGCGCCGACCTTGCGGAGCAGGCGGGCGGAGAGCGGAGGTGGTCGGCGGGGTAGCCGCCGTAGTACTGCCGCTTGTCCACCCTCCAGCCGCCAGGCAGGCTGAGGCCGAAGGTGTAGTGGTAGATGTCCTGCGAGGGAGACAGGGGGAGATAGGGGGAGATAGGCGGAGATAGGCGGAGATAGGGGGAGGTGCAGTGGTAGATGTCCTTGTCCGCCATGTCGTCGGTGCCGATGCCCTGTGGCTCGACCTGCGAGGAAGCGCCCGAGGATGCTCGGGGGAGGGCCGAGGAGCGGCGGCCTGTCCCCGTGCCCTGCTGCCTGGATGGACTGGGAGACGGTGTGGCGGATGCCGAGGTTGCGGGCGGCGAGGTTGTAGCCCCACATCTCGAGCACCTCAGAACGAATCAGGACTCATTCATCGTCAGTAGTGAGTGAGGGAGGTTGCAGCCCCACATCTCGGAGCACCCAGCCGAAGATGTGGTTCGCGTCGCTGTCGTGCTTCATCTTGACGGAGAGGTCCCACCACGGCCGCGCGACTCGCTTGAGCATCGCCTTGTGCACGAGGAGGGGCGAGGGGCATGCCACATGCGACACAGGGGGGAGAGTAGAGAAGGTGTCATGTGTGGGTGTAGGACGCCTTGTGCACGAGGAGGGGCGAGGGGCATGCCACATGCGACACAGGGGGGAGAGTAGAGAAGGTGTCATGTGTGGGTGTAGGACGCCTTGTGCACGAGGAGGGGCGAGGGGCATGCCACATGCGACACAGGGGGGAGAGTAGAGAAGGTGTCGTGTGTGGGTGTAGGACGCCTTGTGCACGAGGAGGGGCGAGGGGCCGACGTTGTCCACGGTGCGGATGTCGATCGCCGGGTCGAGGAACTTTTGGACGACGGGCTGCAGCTTCGGGTCGGTCGAGATCCTGCGTGCACCATACCTCCAGAGTAACGAATCCAGTGTGGGTTCGGTCCCGTGGGTGGTGCGGTAGCAGCTGTGCGGCGTACCAGCCTGCGTGCTGAAGACACCAAGGTCGGGGCGGGAGTACGGCACTGTGCAGTGTCTCCAGAGCACCGCGTGAAGACGAGGGGCCACGAGTGCAGTGAGTACAGCGGACGACGGCCGAGCACAGCGGAGTCCGTGTCCTCTCGAGCTGGTTGGGAGGACACGACAGTGTGTGTTTGGCTTCTAGGGTCGAGGTCATGTAGTAGAAGCCGAAGCCGACCGGCTTCTCGGGGGTGGCGCCGTTGAGGGGCGGGCGCATCATCATGTGGTCCGTCTCGATGAAGAAGAGGTACTCCTACGACCCATCTCTCGGCTAGACCTCGGGCTAGACCTCGGGTAGATCGCGGGTAGATCGCGGGTAGATCTCGGGTAGACCTCGGGTAGATCTCGGGCAGATCTCGGGTAGACCGCGGGTAGATCTCGGGTAGATCTCGGGTAGATCTCGGCGTCTCTCTCGATGAAGAAGGGTACTCTACACAGCCAACCCCCGCGGTGCCGCGGCCGAGCCGCTGTCGCTGCCTCCGGCTCTCGCGCGGGGCAGAGAGGCGGCAGAGAGGCGGCAGAGAGGCGGCAGAGGCAGAGAGGCGGCAGAGAGGCGGCAGAGAGGCGTCGGAGAGGCGCGCTCCTCCGGGATATTGCGAAAGTGCTCCGTCTCTACGAACTGGACGGCGCCCCACGGCCGGTTCATCACGATGAAGCCTGTTCACAGCAGTGGGTGTGAAGAGACGCTGTTCACACCTCGCCACGGCCGGTTCACCGCGATGATGCCGTGGTCGCACTCGTCGCACGACCCGTGCCCAAGCTGCTTCACCACCAGCGTCGGGATCTCGTCCATCAGCTTGTCGGGCGCCTGCTCATTAATTATGTCACATGGCCATTCACTAATCAATCACCATCTCGTCCATCAGCTTGTCGGGCGCCGCGCTCGGCGAGTTGAACAGCCGCGTGAAGCCGCCGATGTCGGAACACGGACCGCCCGCCTTCTTCTGCTTGAGGTAGTGGTAGTACGCGATGCGAGACTGCCACTCCTGGTAAATCCCCGTCGCCGCCGTCATCACCACGTGGTACGGCTTCCGGGTCGGCGGGCACCCTTGCGGCGCCGCCTCGGCGTGCGGAGTGGTGGCCGCAAGCGGCGGCGTCGCGTGCTGCGCCGGCTCGGAGGTGGCGGTCACGTGCGACGCTTTGGCTGGCTGCGAGTGCTGCGCCGCACCCGCTTGTGGGCTCTCGCTGGCGGCAGCGGCAGCGGCCTGTGGGCTCTCGCTGGCGGCAGCGGCAGCGGTGCTGCTGCCGACGGCCGAGGGACCGCCCGCCCGCAGCGCGCTCAGGTGCGCGTTGCGGGAGCTTCCGACGAGCGTGTTGGCGTGCACGAGCAGTCCGATGACGACGAGTGAAGCAGCGACGACAACCAGGCGGAGGATCATGGGGATAGAAGGCTCAGGAGCGGCGATACTAGCCAGCCTGCTAGCGCCGAACACAACTTGGGCGCATAAAGAATTCAACACCCACCGCGCCGGAGCCGGAGCCGGCCGGCGCCAAGAGCAAGCTCCCCGAGCCGACGCCAATCTCGAAACGGACTCGCTCCTCGCGGCGCAACGCGCAGGCCGCTTGAGCGCGGCCGCCGCCAGTCGCCGCTGGGCCGGGGCCGCGGCGCTTGCCGGGGCCGGCCGGCGCTTGCCGCGGTAGCGAGCGTCGGGGCGCGATCGGGCGCGATCGTCCCGCTCTGGCGAGGTGTGTGAGAGAGAGATTTACTCTTGGTGTGTGTGCGTACGCATGCAGTGTCTGTGGGTGGGCGCGGGGCCATCGCTCGCTTCGGTGTGGGCCGGGGCTGAGGGTTGGGGGTTGGGGCAAATGTAGATTTCCCGAAATATTTTGAGAAATATGACAGCCTTGTTCGGAAGGAGAAATTTCCGGAAATTTACCATACCTGTGTTGACGCGAATGACACTGACGCCTGAATGACACTGACGCCCGATGACCTGCTTGACCGGTGACCGATGACCGCTGACCGCTGACCGATGACCAGCGTCAGCCTCTCCGCGGAGGCGCACCATCACTGCCGCGCGGGCCTGCCGGCTCAAGCAAGGCACGGCAGGCCCGCACGGTGCCTGGTCCAACATGGGGGACACCTTGTTTCCTTACACGGAAAGGGGCGAAACTTGAGCATGGAGTGACGCTGCGAAGAAATTCTCGCAAATTTGCCGTGGCGGGGCACGAAATAAAGAGGAAAGAAATGAAAGAAATATCCTTAGGATGGCCCCCGAAGTGGCGACGAGAGCAGCCGCGCGAGATATAGTTATAGAGAGAAGTCGGCGCGTATAATGGAGAGTGAAAACGTTTCGGAAAAGCATGCGCGATCCACTCTTATTCCTGCAAGAGCAAAAAAAAACTTTCGCTCGGACTGAACACAGCAAAGAAGAGAATTTAAACAAAACAAGTCTCGCACAGCAGACAGGCTCGACACAGGTGCGAACTGGCGCGTGCTAGTACTATCACAGGCGTGCAAGCCCCACCCGGCTGGCGGGTGGACCAAGGGGCGTGCCGCCCCGCTTGCTCTAGGTGAAACGTCTAGGGGGTGCGTGCCTGACGAAGAGGAATTCAATGGGAGGGCGACAACAGCGGTGGTTGCAACGTACAGCTGTGCGTGAGCCGGGTGGGACCGCAGTGGTGCGGTGACGTGCCCGGTGTGCGTGCGTGTGCGTGCGTGCGTGCGTGCGTGCGTGTGGTCGCGCGTGGCACTGGCTGCGTGCGCTCCCTGCGCTCTCTCGTGCGGTGTTGTAGTGGATGGAGGTGCAGGTGCCAAAAGACTGGATAGAGCCTCACCTTGAGACAGACTCGAGATCGTATTATCATCGACTACAACAACCTGCGCGCACAGATCCGAATTGCCGCGTGAACACACGAAAAATGTCTCGCTCTCGGCTTTCTTTGCACGCCGCGCAACCGATCGTCGGCGCACGGTCCGGTGGATTGGCGACACAGGCACCCCCATCAACAGGCTGTCCGCCGCTTGCTTGTTTACCGAATTGGCGCGCTGCGTCTGCTCGCGCCCAAAACTTTTTTTCTTTTCCCTCTCGGTGGTTGAGACGGATCAAGTTCACGCCGACCGGGTTCTCCAGCCCGGGCAAGACGTCGACCTACGACCGCCTCACCACGGTCGCGGACGACCCGATGTCTGTGCTCCGCACGTCGCTCTACGGTATCCCTCGACTGTCGACACTCAACTACTCAACGACGCACACGACTCTCACACTACACACTTTACACTTACCTCGTCTCGCGGACCCCCCGCCTGCGCCTCGCGCTCGCTCCTGCCGCCGCTTTCAAAACACACAACCGAAAACCAAACGGTAAAGGACGCTAAAGAGAACATGCAAGCCAGACAGCAACGAGCAAGCGGCTCTCGCGCTCTGCGCCGGACGTATTTGGCCGCACACGCCTCCACGGATTCCAACATGCACACACCGCCATCAGACGCGGCTGCGGGGCTGCTCTGCTACACGAGCTCCCCTTCGCTCCCCGGCCATCACCACCCGCGCGTTGCGAAAGGTCGCTCACGCTAATCGGCGCCTTTTGGGTGCGTCGCGATGCTGCCCACACTCACCACGCGGTGGGCGGCGGGGCGGCGGCAGCAGGCGGCGGCGCCTTAGCGCCCACCTGGCCGGCCTTGCTCGCGGGCCTCGCGGGCGGTGGCATGGCGGACTCGCCCTGCTTGGACGTTGCGGGCGGCGGGGCGGGCGGGGCGGCGCCACCGCTGCCGAGGACCGGAGGCGCAGAGGATGTTGGGTGTGAGGTCGTGGAGGCGAAGATCCCAAGGGGGGGAGCTGATCCCACTTGTAACCAACTCTCAGGGGCAGTAGGTGGGCGAGCTTCAAGCGCGCATTCTCCTTCTTGCGGAAGCCGCGGTAGGTGTGGAAGTCGCCCGAGCCGGCGCCGGCCGTCGAGCTCATCACGTTGACGATCGCCTCCGTCTTGACCCCGCTGTCCTTGTCCTCCATCCGCTGCGTGAAGCGGTCGAGCTTCTTCTCAAACTTTGCGAGCGCGTTGAAGTTGGGCTGCATCGAGTTGAACGAGTCGCGTGCGGCTTTGGGCATCGGGATCTCGGTGCGGTTCGCATCCTCCCGCTCCTTCTCCCACTTCCCCAGCTGCCGCCCGCTCACAACCGAGGATGCCATTTTACATGGCGCCGGGGGCCAAAAGGAAAGGAGAAAACCCCCGAACCGTTGTCGCATTCGCAGTCAGAAGGGGGATGGTTGAATCCCCGAGCCCCGGGGTTGGTGCTCGCCGAGAGCCCCCCCCCCCCCCCCCGTCGCTCCCGCCGCGCCCCCCGCCGGCGTTCGTGGCGGGACTTCCCGCCCCCTCCCCCGCCAGCACCGCTCCGCAACTCCTCCAGGTCCTCCTCCCAGAGGAGCAGCCGCCCCTCCCTCACCCAATCCTCCCACCCTGGGAATGGGACACCGCAAACAGAACCGCGCCCAGCGTCCCAGCAGCGCAATCTCTTCCGCTCCCCCGCCTTGAACTCCGCCACGAGCGCCGCGACCACCTCGTCACGCTCCTCGATCGATGCTTGGTCCCGGGAAGAACTGCCTCTGGCGCACGCCAACGCGACATAAAGGGGCTGGGTGCCACACGACGTGTGTTAGCGAAGTGAGTTGAAGTGAGTAGAAGTCGATAGAGGGACAGATAGACAGAAAAAGAGAGAGAGAAGAGAGAGCGAGAGAGCGAGAGAGCGAGAGAGAGAGAGAGAGAGAGAGAGAGAGAGAGAGAGAGAGAGAGAGAGAGAGAGAGAGAGAGAGAGAGAGAGAGAGAGAGAGAGAGAGTTAGCACCCACCGCGTTGCACAGCGGCGGTCGTTCACGAACACGTGGTCAATCATGCTCGACCCTCCCGACCCAGAGACCACCCTGCTTTCCCCATCGGGCTCCTCCTCCTCACTCTCCACCTCCCTTCCCGCCTCCTCCGCCACCTGGTCCGGCTTGAATGACACCGGGAGCACTTTGAAGTCCCCATTGTCTCCAGATGTCGACCCATAGAGATGTCCCCACCGCAATCGGATCTCCCCCACTCGTAGTCTTGTCGGCGCACTCGCCTCGTGCAGGACTACATCTAGCTCTACCTCACACACACACACACACACACACACACACACACACACACGCTCCGCCATCGGGTTTTGGCCCTAGCGAGGTCTCGAAAAAATGCGGTCGAAATGTCGGCTCCACATGGCACGCCGTCCAGTGTCCCGATAATGCTGTCGTCTCGTCCCTTTACGCGGAGAACACGCAGCCTCGCACTCTACTGGACTGGCTCGCCGGTATTCGCGCTGCTGGCGGTGGCGCCTCCTGGCGCGCTGCTCTCCCTGGACCTCCTTCCGTTCTGCTCGCCCGCCTTCTTCCTCGCGATCGGTGGTTGGGCATCCGCCACGACTCTCTGGCTGGCAGGAATACTGGGCTTGTGCATGGCGACTTCTTCGCGGCGCGTGGCACCTCGCCTAGGAGGGCGCTCCCGGGCCTCCCAGCAGAACGCTTCGCCTTTCGGTCCACCCTCGCCGTCTCCTCCTCCGCCGTCGGCCGAGCATGAGCAGCTCGACGGCGCTGGCGCGCCATCGCCGCCGCTTACTGCAGGTGAGGCTGGGTGGGGCCGCTGGTCACTGCGCGGATCTGCGCTGCGCTTCGAGCTGCGCGTGCCGAATCTGACGCGTGCGGCGGACGTGCGGTGCGAGTGCCTCGCCGGCCTCCTCGACGTGCGCGTGAAAGACGCGCAGCTGCTCGATGGTCGGCTTGTGGCCGGGCCATGGTTCGGGCCCTCTCAGGTGCAGCCGATCGAGCTCAGGTGGCTGCTCGATACGTCGGCGGAGGGCGAGAGGTCGCTCTGCGTCGACGTGCCGGTTCAGGGGTGGACGCCGCCGGAGCAGGGGTGGAGCCCTCGGAGTGGAAGGCTGCGGCGGCGCGGCTCGAGCGCAGCGGCCCGGCCGCCACCGACGGCCATCTTCCGGTCGCTCCGCGTGGCTGGGGAGGTGGTTGGCGAGCCGCTCCTGGTCCTGGGCAGGCAAAGGAGCATCTCGAGCCAGTCGCTCGCACTCAAGCGCCTCGAAGAGTCGAGCAGCCCGGGCTCCTCTCTTTTTGTGCGAATTTGGTTCTTCTTTTCTAGGCGCCTCAAGCTTGTCAGTTTGGCGCGGCTGGAGGAGGCGTTCGCGGCGAGGCCCGCCGGCCTCGTCCTCTCGCAGCTCTTCTCGACGGACGAGTTCCTCTTCGAGGCGGACAGCGAGACGGCCGACTTTGCGCTGGTGTCCTACCGGCAGGAGCCCGGGCCGGGCCTCCCATGACCCGCTCCCACTGCCCCTCTCTTTTTGAGCCCGGGCCTCCCATGACCCGCTCCCACTGCCCCTCTCTTTTTGAGCCCGGGCCTCCCATGACCCGCTCCCACTGCCCCTCTCTTTGTGAGCCCGGGCCTCCCATGACCCGCTCCCACTGCCCCTCTCTTTTTGAGCCCGGGCCTCCCATGACCCGCTCCCACTGCCCCTCTCTTTGTGAGCCCGGGCCTCCCATGACCCGCTCCCACTGCCCCTCTCTTTTTGAGCCCGGGCCTCCCATGACCCGCTCCCCCACTGCCCCTCTCTTTGTGAGCCCGGGCCTCCCATGACCCGCTCCCCCACTGCCCCTCTCTTTGTGAGCTGGGTCCGCTTGGTTCAGGCGCGGGCCACGCCCGACGACGGCACGACGATGGACGAGCGCACCCTCAGGGCTGTACTGCTCAAGGCGAGGGAGGCGGGTGTAGCGGCGCTCTGGATGGACGCGTGGTGCTTCCGCTTCGCCGGCGAGTACGTCCACGAGGACTTTTGCGCGCTCCTCTCGCACGTCGTGCGGGCGGTCCGCGCCGTGATTTGGGTCCCTCTCAGCCGGGCGAACACGGCGCCTTCGTTTCAGTTCCGGATGTGGTGTACCTTTGAGGCGGCCGTCGTCGAGCACCGGCAGCTACCCGTCTTCATTGCGGGCGAGCTGACGGCCTCGCAGCGGCGCCTGGCCCGCCTCGGCCCTCGCATCTTTGCGCTCCCCTGCCTCGAGCCGCGCGCGACGCTCGCGGAGCTGCGCATCCTCTCGACCTTCAACGTGTGCTTCCTCTTCATGGCGATCGCGTGTCCGCTCGCCCTGCTGCCGCTCTTCTTCATGTCCCGCTCGGCTGCGCTGGCCGAGCTGGTGCCCGCCCTCGGTCGCCAGTTCGCCCTAGCGCGCAACGGGCAGCGGGTGCTGCGCACGCTGCTCCAGGCCTCCCGAGAGGCGGACAGCCGCATGGAGGAGGGCGGCTCCAGGTGCTCTCCTTGAACCCTTTCGCAACCCCCGCCCCTAAGCCTTCTCCGAGCCTGCTCACAGGCGCTCGGCAGCACAGACGCTGCGGCGACGCAGGCCCAGCGCGCGGGCAACGTGCTCGAGCTGCTGCGAGATCTGCCGTGGATCCCCGCCTACGACCGCCGCGACGCTCTCGTCATCGCCGAGGTGCTCATGGTCCTGTACGAGGTGCCGCCGCGCAAGCTCGCGGCGGTCATACAGATCCAGGCCCTGTGGCGCGGCTCCCGTGAGAGGGCGGCGCGAATGGCGCGGCTCTCCGCCGGCGCCGCCTCCTCCTTCCTCTCCGGCCTGCAGAGCGAGGACAGCGTCCAGAGGAGTCGGGTCAGCCAGGCGGGAGGCCGCTCGCTGGAGAGGGTCGGGACCGGGGCCAGTGAGCGCAGCCTGCAGAGCAGTCTGGCCAACCAGAGCCACAGCAGGGGACAGAGCCGCAGCCAGCGCAGACAGCGTGCGGTTTGGTCGCCGCTCTGGTCTGAGGCCCTCGCGTGGGACCGCGTCTCGTCCGACGAGTTTCTGCGCGCGCTGGCGCTCTCCCTCTTCGTCTCTGCGCGGCAGGCGCGCTCAGGCGGCGACTGGCCCTTCACCAATGGTGGAGAGGGGGTGCTGCTCGAGGAGTGGCTCAATCAGGCCGGACACCGTATGCCGCCGCCCGCCACTGCCAGCTGCGCCGCCTCCGTGTCCTTGGTGGAGCTCGATCGCTTCGGCTGGCGGGTGCGCTCTGGCGACTCGCACCTACTGAGCACCCCGCTGGGCAAGCTGCAGGTTCCAGCGAGCCGCGCGTCTGCAAGCGTCAGCCTCGCCGACGCGTCGCCGGTGCCCGAGATGAGCGCGCTCGCCCAGGTGCGAGCTCACCCACGCGCATTGGGACCCTCGCTGCGCGTTGAAGGCCGTGGGGCTCCTGTCTTGGGACGCTTGGAGAGAGTCGCGAGGGATGGCCTGGCGCCCTGGTGGAGAAGTTTACTTGCCCTGCCCCCCTTGCCCTCCTTTAGACGGCGGCGCTCCTCTTCTTCGCCGCGGTCTTCTCCCTCTACTTTGTCGACCTCTTCACCGAGCTCATCATCAACGCCGTCGGGTCGCGGGCGCATGGCTGGAGCCGCGTGCCCGAGGCGCGAGAGATGCGAGGGAGAGGCGGCCCCTTGCCCCACACTAGAGCGTGTGGACAAGCGCACCTCGCCTCACATCAGGCGCTCCTCGCAGCTCTGGACGCCCTCCTCGTCGTCGTGGCCGCCTGCACCATCTGGCTGCCGGCTGCGCTCTGCACGTGGCGACTACGCGCCGTGCCGCATGACTCGCTCGCCGCGGTCTTCTCCCCTCGCGAGCGCGAGTCCGCCATGGCCCTCCTCACGCCGTACGTGATCGTCCCGGCCGTCCCGTCCAGCTTCGTGGCCATCCTCCTCGTCGTGATTGCTTGGGCGGAACGGCAGCCGCTCTCCTCGGATCACCTCACGGTGGACACGTGCCTCCCCGGCGGACTCCAGCCCGCGCTCCTCGGCGGCGTCCTCGCGCTGCTCGTCGCGATCAACGCCGTGGCGGCTGTCTCTGCCTTCTCGCTCGCCTACCACCGCTGGGCACGCCACGTCCGTGAAGGCCGCCCCGATGCGCCAGAGTTGGCGTTCCTGACATTCCGACGCACTGATGGCGGGAGGTCGAGCGGGGTGGTCTAGTTGTGAGTGCTGTGTGGTGTGTGACAATTAGAAGTTCATATGGGCCACAGCGGTCAGGGCGCGCGAGTGCCGAGTCGCGGTGTCAGGCGGGCGATCAGGGAGAGCGAGCCCATGCGAACGCTAGCCGCGGCTCCGCGGCCCCCAAGTCTCCAAATAAAGTCCGTTGCCGGACGAGAAAGGCCCCTACGAGACTCACGCGGAGGCTAGTTCCATTTCACTGTGGCACAGCTCGCGTTACAAAACCTTGATTTGACCATTTGCGCACTATTGTTATATGATAGTAACAGAGCAGTTTGGTCGGAGGGCGCCCGGGTCGCCCCGGAGCGGCCCCGCGCGGGGAGGTGGGTGGAGGGCGGGCGCCACGCCGTCGGGCAGGCCGCGCGGGGACGCAGCCGGGGCCAGCGCGCGGCGCTAGAGGGCCGGGCGCAAACTTGTTGGACCTGGACCTGGACCTGGACCTGGGTCGGCGAGTTTTGGTGGTTCGAAATGCGGAGCGCGCAGTCCGTTGTGGTTCGAAACGCGATGCCTCCGTTGGGAGACACGGACGGCGCCGGCGGGAGCGACGCGGTCGGCGAGGCGCCGCACTCGGTCGCCGTCCTGACGGTGATCAGCGAGCCGGTCGAGCGTGACCAGTTGCATTCGAATCTGAGCACCACATTGAGGCCGTTGGTGGAGAGGGAGCGTGGCGAGCGAGGTGACGAGGATGGAGCTGTGGGTGTAGCCGGTCGAGGCACGGCCGCGTCGTCCACGACGAGTCGTCGGAGAAGGGCGAGACGTCGAAGCGCCGTGACGGTGATTCTCGGGCCGAGGCCGATGTCTCGTAGGGAGGAGCTGACTTGTCAGCGCCTTCGCAACGCGGTTCAATTGTGGACGACGGTGTACACGGAGATGGGATGGTGCGACGACATGCGGGACAAGCTGTGATTGCACATGCTTCTGCACGCTACGTGTTCGCACCGCGAGGTCGAACCGAGGTTTATACGGGTGTGGCTCCAGGGCCCGGTGCTCCAGGATGCAGCGGCTGCGAACCGGCGCAGGTGTGTCCGCAATGCGCTCACTAACGTGGCTGAGCAGGAGCATGAGGACGGCAACCACGCACGAATGTCTGTGCTGTACGCGCGAGCGATGCTGGCCTAGGAGAAGAGCTGCGGCTGCAAAGGCGAAACGTGTTGTTGGCCCGTTTGTGCAGCTCAGATGAGTCCGAGCGGGTGGCTCTGACACCGAGCTCAGTTGGCGGGTACGCACGAGCCGCGGCGGCCGCCTTCCAAAGCCCAGAGGACTCTCTGGTGCTCGGACAGCTTGCGCGCCACACGCTGCTGGCGGGCTACGTCGACCCAGCAGCCAGAGCCACCACAGCTAAGCAGGCCGCCGAAATGCGACTGGCAGCAGCGCCGATAAAGTGCTGCGACTGGACGATGGGCGGCCCGTGGGGCGGCAACGCGGACTTGGTGGCCGATTACCTGAGTGGTATGCAGGTCGGCCAGCGAGAAGGAGGAGACGACGTCGAAGCCGAGGGTGCCTAGTAGAAGTAAGCGAAATAACGCTCTCACGCCATCGAAAGTGAGGGTGCCGTCCGCCGCCGCAGCGAGGATCGCGTCGCCGGCGGAGAGGGAGGAGAGGAGGGCGGTCTCGCCGTCGGCGCGCTGGACCGTCGCAGAGCTCGGGAAGCACGGCGGGTCCGAGTGAGGCGGCGGCGACGGCGAGGCGGAGGGCGGCGGCGGAGAGGGCGAGGCGGAGGGAGGCGGCGGAGAGGGCGAGGCGGAGGGCGGCGAGACCGGCGGCGAGGGCGGCGGCGGGCACGCAAGCGAGCCCCACGAGTATTCCCACGCGCTCGTCTGTGCGGCGAAGCTGGCCTGGATGAGCGCCTTGTTGCAGTCGCTGAGGGAGGAGGCGTCGTCGAACATGAGGGCCATGTCGGTGGCCGCCGACACGTTCCACGAGCTCAGGTCCTTGTCGAAGGAGGAGGCATTGGCGAACATCCATTGCATGTCGAGGACCGCAGACGTGTCCCACGAGCCGATGTCCTTATCGAAGGAGGAGGCGCCGCGGAACGTGTAGGCCATTTCGAGGACCGCAGACGTGTTCCACGAGGAGATGTCCTTGTCGAAGGAGGTGGCGTATTCAAACATGGCGACCATGGTGGTGACCGCCGACGTGACCCACGACCCAATGTCGGGGTTGCACGTGCGCTTGCCGGTCGTGGAGCCGCCGCCGTTACTCACGCACCACAACGAAGCGCTGAACAGACACTTCATGTCTGTAATGTTGCCGTACGTCGCCAGGGCGGCCGTCTCGTTGCTGCACCACAGGTCGGTCGCGTTCTGTAGGTCGGGCTTGTCGGCAAAGGTAGTCTGCGCCGACGCGCTCGTGGGAGGGAGTAGCGCGCCAAAGATTGCGAGGATGAGCTTCATTGTCTGCGGAAGTGGAAAGGTGGGGGGCAGGCGTCACGGTGAGGCGATTCGCGGCTGCGCGCTGGGTGGTCGCGCTGCCCGCAATCCGGCTGCGCCAGATTCGTGGCGCTCGATCCTCGGAGCCGCTCGCGCGGCGGTCGCAGCACGACGGGCATCCCGGCACGAGCGCGCTGCAGCGCTTGGGAGATTGGGCGAATCGGCTGGGCACGCTCTCACACACGCGCCGCATCGCGCGGGGCGAGGGGAGGAGGCGAGGAGGGAGGGGAGTGCATTCCTGAGTGCGAGGGGGTTGCTGATTGCAGCTCTCCGGGGGTCACAGACGGTGATTTGGGCTTGATCAAAAAGAGCGCCTTGGGCACTACTCTCTCGAGGTCTCGCGGATCTTATCAATCAGCCCGCGACGGCGAAGGGGCAGGGGCAGCAGCATTCGTGTGTGTGTGTGTGTGTGTGTGTGTGTGTGTGTGTGTGTGTGTGTGTGTGTGTGTGTGTGTGTGTGTGTGTGTGTGTGTGTGTGTGTGTGTGTGTGTGTGTGTGTGTGTGTGTGTGTGTGTGTGTGTGTGGTGTGTGTGTGTGTGTGTGTGTGTGTGTTTTGATTCGTGTGCAGTCGATCAAACAGAGCGCCTTCGGCACTACTCTCTCGAGGTCTCGTGCTCTCGATCAAAAAAGACGCCTTTCGGTCGGGGCCACAGGGCCACAGCGCCTCGGGCGCTCGTGCGAGCGACCAGCCGATGCCAGGGCTTAGCCTTCCTTGGGGATTTTTTTTCGAGAATCTCGCGCGCCCCCGGTTGGAACCAACTGCTCTACCAAATTTGGGGCGCGACTCAGACAGACGCCGCCTCCGACTGGCGAATGCTCCGCGTGGCGTTCCTTTCTTCTGGCTCGGCTTTTCTTCAAATAGAGCAGGCCCGACTTGGCCTTTTTTACGAGAGTTTCAGGAGCACTATTCAGTTTGATCCAGCTCAACGTTGCGGAGTAGTAACACTGTTCCGTTACCACAGTGAGCGGCGGTGGCCGGCGGCGGCCGGTGTGGCACGCGGAGCACTCCGTGAGCGGTGACGGGTGCGGACGAGCGAATGAGAGGTCTCTTTTACTGAGAGGTAGGCAGTCCGAGTCTCTAACAACACGTCTCCCACAGATATCGACCTCTCATTCGCTCGTCCGCGCCCGTCACTGTTAGTCGGGGCACTCCCGGCGTCCGGCCCGGTCCTGGAGGGATCGCCCTCAGTACTCACCGGATCGCCGGGTCATCGTATCGTACGTCAGCCGTGTGACGGAGGGATTCGCCCTCGGCCCTCGGAGGGATCGCCCTCGAGGGCCACGTCCGCCGCTCGGCCGGTGGGCTTCCGCCGGCCGAGGGGGGGGGGGGGGGATGCCGCTTGACGGGGCCGAGGGTTCGCCCTCGGCCCGAGGGATCGCCCTCATCGGCCTGAAGGATGTGGCTGCACTGTAGCTAGCTCAGCCATCCTTAGGTAAGATGGCTGTGTAGGAGACAGCACAGCCATAGTGCGCTTACATTCCACGTACATTCCGAGGTTAGATCTAGCCCACACACATGGTCCAGCACATCGCGGTTCCTCCCATCACATACTGGAGGCTGCAACTACTCCGCCACGGTTGGCCGCGCGCCGACACTCGTCTATGAGCAAACGGCAGTCTCGCCGCGCGTCAGGCCGATCGCCCGAGCTGCTGCAGCCTCTCCATCCCATTTTGGGCTCCGGCCCTGCATGGAGCCCGCCACCCGCACCCGACACCATCGGCACGATTGTCTCCCGGCCGATGGCGATGCCCTCTTACGAGGTGAGCCAGCCTGTGGCAGTGCCGTTCCCCGTCCTACCCGCCAACGCCGCTCTCGTCGGCGCGGAGGCCGTCCGGGCGTGGGCTCGGGGAGTCGCACACAAGCCGGGCGAGGCGCAGCCGTCGCCGCCGCCCTCGCTGCTCCTCGAGCACCGTCAAGAGGAGGGCAGCGAGCGGACCGGCGGCTCGCTCGTCGCGGATGGCGACCAGCGGCTCGGGGCGCAGTCCGCTGGCCCGGTCCGCACGGGCGCATGCCCCGGCGGCGTCTGCGGCAAGCGCCGGCGCGCGGGCCCGCGCAAGGGCGGAGGCGGCGCACGGCAGGCCGAGGAGGAGGAGGAGGGGGGAGAGGGGGAGGAGGCGGCGAGTGAGGAGGAGCGGCTCGCCGAGCTCAACGAGCGCGTGCGCGACGCGCTCCGCGAGCGGGGCCTCAACCTGCAGCAGCTCGCATGCCACATCGGCTTCAGCTCGACCGCGACGCTCTGCGACGTCCTCAACGATACCGGCCCGTAGCCCTTCCCTCGCGCGTGCCCCTAGGCCACACACTCACACCGCTCACCCACGCGCACCTGGCCTTGCACCTTGAATTGCCGTGCCAGCTCCTGTCTTCTAGACGTGGAGTCGCGAGTGTTGCCCCCGCTTGCCCCGCCTGGTGTGTGCGGAGAAGTTTACCTTACCTTACTTGCCCCTAGGCCGCGCCGCGCCGAAGACCAAGGGCGAAGTGCTGCACGCGCTCGACAGGTGGTGCCGCGACCCCTCCTCCACCATCGCCACCGAAGCGGAGGAGGATGCAGCCCGCGCCTGTGCTCTCGCAGCGCCCGCGCCGCCCGCGCCTGCACTCGAGGCAGAGGGCTGCACCAAGAAGCGGCGCGGCGCGGCGCCGGCGGCGGAGGCGGTGGCGGCGGCGGAGGAGGAGGAGGAGGAGGGGGGGGAGGTTCTGGCGGCCGGGCAGGCACCGGCGGCCGAGGAGCCGCTGTCGGACGATGTGCTCTCTCAAGACGCTCTCTCGGAAGACGCCCTCTCGGAAGAGGCGCGACAGCCCTCGCCCCTCCACCCCCCCCCTCCTCTCCTCTCCCCTTCTAGACCCAGCCCCCCTGCCCTTCGCAGGCGGGGGAGGTGCCAAGAGCGGTGGCGGCGGAGGCGCAGGCGGAGGAGGAGGCAGAGGCGGCGGCGGAGGAGGCGCAGGCGCAGGCGGCGGAGGCGCAGGCGGCGGAGGCGCAGGCGGAGGCGGCGGAGGCGCAGGCGCAGGCGGCGGAGGCGCAGGCGGAGGAGGAGGCAGAGGCGGCGGCGGAGGAGGAGGAGATGGCCGAGGAGGCGGCCACGGCCGGCCCAGGGGGTGTGGTGGCAGAGGCGGAGGGGTTGAGGCTGCACCTCTGTGGCACCGGAGTGCGCCACAGCGGCACGGGCTACAAGGGCGTGACGCAGGCCGCCTACGGCCGCTTCCGCGCGCAGCGCTACGAGGGGAAGCGGTGCATCTACATCGGGCTGTACGGCACGGCGGTGGAGGCGGCGGTGGCGTTCGCGCGCGTGGTCGGTGAGGCGCCGGAGAGAGAGGCGGCGGCGGGAGGTGGAGAGGAGCGGGAGGCGGCCCCACCAGAGGAGCGGGGGGTGGCAGAGAGAGAGGCGGCGGCGGGAGGTGGAGAGGCGGACGAGGCGCTGCCCGCAGCGGAGGCGGCTGCCGAGGCGGCGGCGGCGGCGGCGGGCGGGGAGGCGGCGGGCGGGGAGGCGGCCACGCTCCGCGATTCGGCGGTAGAGGCGGCGGAGACGTCGGAGGCGGCGGAGGCGGAGGCGGGCGGCCTCCGGCTGCACCTCGGCAAGGGTGGCACCGGCTACAAGGGCGTCTCCAAGTTCAACAGCGGCGGCTTCGAGGCGTACTACTTTGCGGGCCGCAAGGTGCGGTTGGTCGAAGTAGTGGTCGATGCGGGCGCTCGTGGGGGGGGGGGGGGGGGGCGTGAGTGGGGGTCCTCCACCGCTGCCACTTCCGACGATAGCACGGTTGTCTAGCACGGTTGTCTGTGGTGAAGCCTTTCCCTGAGGACGCACGCACCGCCTCGTGTGCAATGCCGCCGTGTGTTCCGCGAGTGCGCGTGCCCCGTCGTCCGTGCGAGGACGTGTGAACCACTGACTGACTGACTGGCTGGCTGACAGGTGCGGCTGGGCGTGTACGATACCGTGCTCGAGGCGGCGGAGGCGTACGCGCGGTACGTCAACGAGAACGGCGTCGAAGAGGAGGCGCCGCCGCCGCCGCCTCCGACGGAGGAGGAGGTGCTCGCGGCGGCGGCGGCGGAAGGGCTGCAGCTCCACCGCAAGGATGGGAACATGACGGGCTACAAGGGCGTCTCGCCCCTCGACGGCGCGTTCGAGGCATACTTCAACGTGCGCGGCCGCAAGATCCGTCTGGGCAGGTTTCCCACCGCCGCGGCGGCGGCGGTGGCCTACGCGCGGCACGTGGCCGACCCTCAGACGGCCGGCGAGCACGCGGCGACGGTGGTCGCCCGGTGTGAGCAGCGCCAGGAGCGGCGCGAGGCCTGTAAGATCGCTCACCGACACAGCCGCCGCGCTGTGCCGGAGTGCCCCGGCACGCCCCCGCCAGAGGAGGAGGCGGCGGAGGAGGCAGCGGCGTCCGGGGCGGCGCAGGGGCGTGCGGAGGCAGCGGCGGGGGCAGCAGCGGCAGCAGCGGCAGCGGCGTCGGCGGCGGCGGCGGCAGCGGCCTTCCGTCGCAGCTCTCGCGTGCCCAGTTGCATGCCGACTGGAGAGACGTACGTCGGCGGTGGCTTGGGCGGGAAGAGCGGCCACACGCGCGACACCGCCGCGCCACCCGCCAAGCCGACCGCCAAGGCACCACCCGCCAAGGCGCCCGCAAGACCGCCCGCCATGGCTCCCGCTATGCCACCCGCCGCCGCCGCACCCGCCGCACGCACCGCGCCAGCCGCAGCACGCGCCGCCGCACGCGCCGCGCCCGCCGCCGCCGGCACCGACCCGGCTCGCGGCGCGGCGCTGCGCTCCGTGGCGAATCCGAAGCGCAGCGGCGGGAAGTGGGCTCCGTGCCCCGGGCTGTGCGGTGGCCGCACCGCCGGGGGCGTGTGGTGCGACGCTTGCAAGGAGGAGGGCGACGCGGTGCTCTCCGCCGCCGGCCGGGGCAGCGGTGTCACCATGCCGAGCAGCGGTGTCCGCCCGCTCGTGGCGGCGGCGGCAGAGGCGGCGGCGGCAGAGGCGGCGGCGGCAGAGGCGGCGGTGGCAGAGGCGGCGGCGGCAGAGGCGGCGGCGGCGGCAGAGGAAACAGAGGCAGCAGAGGCGGCAGAGGCAGCAGCGGACAACGAAACCGGCGCCCGCCGCGAGGCCGGCGCCGAGGCCGCGCCGAAGCGCTCGATCGGGGCTGCCGGAGGGGCGGCGGAGGTGGCCGCAGGCACGAGGCGTTCCAAACGACCTGCAGAGGCGGCTGCGGCAGTGGACGCGGCGGCGGGAGCAGAGGCTGCGGCGGCGGCGAAGAATGCGAGGACGGACTCGGCAGCTGGGAGCTGGGAGGCATGGAATGGCCTCCTAGATGCCTCCGTCCCCGGTCCCTTTGCTGTGGGGAGCGGACGCCTTTTCGAGCCCGCCTCCTCCTCTCCTCCTCCTCTCTGCTCCTGCACACCTCCTGCCTGCCCGCTGGCAGGCGCAAGGCAAGGCCGTCCACGGAAGGTTCCGCTAACGTTCCGAGGCCTAACCTCCCCTGGACGGAGGAGCGCAAGGCGGCGGTGGGCGGCCCATTCTTCCGCTGCGACGGGCTCGGCGGCTCGTGCCCTGAGGTGCGGCCGAGGACGGAGGGCGGAAACTGGGCGAAGCACATGCTTTCCCCGCAGGAGCAGCGCATGCGCGGCACCAGCAAGCGGTTCTGCGGGCAGTGCCGGGTCCCCGCCGACGACTTAAACTAGGAGCTCGGCGCGAAGCACCCGACGGGAGAGGTGGCGCTGGCCGTCAGGGGGGTGAGATGGGGGGAGGCGCCTGTCCCAGGGATAGGGCCGGAGTGCGGAGAGACAGAGAGGGCACATCGACGGGGCTAGGGAGCCTCGTTCGCCCACAGGGCCTTTAGGGGCCCCTAAATAAATAAATAAAAACGCACACCTCTCTACTGACTACTGTGATGTGGGTAAAAAAGAACAGGTCCCCGGACACCCCGCCCTTGGCCTTGCGATCTTTGTGCAGGGTTCTTTGTTGTGCCAGTCCCGTGTAAGGACCGCATAAAATATTGAATATATTGCTCCAATAGTTAGAGATGCGATTATATATTGCAATGGTTAGAGGGGCTAGGGCTGCTCCCGTGGTCCCGGCCGTTCGTTGTACGTTCGCGACGGACTGCTGGACGTGAGGACACTATTACTTTTTTTCTCCTGATTTTTGCCCTTCGGCGAGCGCCATGTTCGCTGCTAACCATCCCGGGCGCAACCAGCCGGCAGCCGACGCCTCGCCGGCCCAGCCGCCGCAGCCTGGCCTGACGCCACAGTGCTTGAAGGAGATTGAGGCTCTGTCATGCTCGCAACTGTCGTGCGGTCGGACAAAAAACCCGCGAAAAAAAAGTCCAACAAAAGCTTGAGAGGGATCAATATATTGTCAATAGTTAGAGGGGATGCTGTCAATAATCAATATCAATAGTTACTCGCTTAGTGTGGGTAAACCATAGTACCGTATACGGTACTATGAACAGAGAAGCCCATAAAAGTCGCCGCGGCAGTCCACGCCGAGCCGGCCTGCTGCCGGCTTGCACGGCAGCCTTTTCCTCTCGACCAGCCTCAACTTCCGTACAGTCAACATTTTGTCGCTGCGTGCTCGTGGCGAGCTGTGGCGGCGGTCGAAGTTGGCCCAGATTCGACGACGAGCGCCGGACGATAGTACCGCCTCTGTTCGCCCTGTGCATGTCAGACCAGGCTGCAGCAGGGCACTACCATCGTGCTGCCCTGCTGCAGCCTGACCCTGCCCACTGTGCACAGCCGCCAGAGCACCACCACCGCCCGGCATCGTGTCACGGCGAGCTCCTTCTGCGCCCGCTCGCGAGGCTCTCGCGCTGGCACACTTTGGCCATCTGCTGCTCGCGTTCGGCGAGCTCTTCTCCGCAATCCTGCCACGGTGCCGCCACCACACACCTTCTGGCCGGCCTGAGCCGCGCGGACTCGCCGGCGGGGGCAACGTGTCGACCTCTCTCTCTGGTGCACCACGGGCCGCGACGGCCTGCGAGCAGCTGGCGCGAGGAGGCAGTGTGCCGGCACAGTCGAGCCGGAGCATCGGGTTCTTGACGCTTGTGGGGTCGAGTTTGACCTTATGTGGCCTAATATGCAACAATAACGCTATGCTCTCACCCAGCCTTTTGAGATATGATCCCTCAAAGTCGAATTTTCGTTTTTACTGGTGACCATACGTACCGTTTGTCTTGTTTGCGTTTCTTCAAACGAATCCTTTAAAGTCTCGACAATCACTAAGCTGCTTATGTGGCACCGCAGAGGCTCCCTTGGGGATGCCTGAGGCCACCCCAACCACTCACCAAGCCTTACGTGGACGAATTCAAACCTACTTTTATGGTTTACCCACACTCTGCGAGTACAGGGGCGAGAATCAATCTTTATGTGGTCCTTAGTCCCGTGCCTAGTGTCCTCTCTGGGGGTTCGCGGGGGCTCTAGAGGGTATCCATGCGGGGGGGCGATGGGGTCCCATGGCCCGCCGCAGGCGCCGTAGCTTTTTAGCTTTTTTTCTTTTTTGCGCGATTTTTTACTTGTTTTCATGGGAATTCGGCGTACTTGCGGCCATGCTATCACGCCTTGCGACAGCCTGTCGGCGCTGCTGACCGTGCCATGCTGCACAATTGATCACCTGCATAGCTCGCGGCCTTAGTATGAAGCATTCAGTGACAACCTGATCGTACGGCCAGTAGGAAGGTGTCCTTCCAGCTGCGTGCACGCTTCTGGCGCAATGCGCGTCGCCTCGGATTGGCTGCTGGCACTCTCGAGGCTATGCCTACACAGCCTCGCGCGCATGGGCAGTCAAGAGGGACCACGCACCTTCTCAGGACAGCGCCGGTGCCTCTCTCTTGGACCGGCAAACGTGGTGGTCTCGTGTTACCAATGTAGGGCTGAGCAAGAAGCAAGGCTTCGAATTCAGGATCCATCGCGATGGCCTCTTGGAATATGGCGAATACAGAATTTCACCCACGGAAAGATGGACTTCCGTGAAAGCCTCCTCACCCTACCTCTTCGACGGTGTGCAACACTACGTGGCGGCCACCCGGAGCAGCGCGGGCACAGTCGTGCTTTTCGTTGATGGCACTCAGGTGGCAAGCTCAAGCAGCTTCCCTGCCTTCCCAACGGGATTGGACACCAGGATGTACACCGCGATGCCCCCATCATTTCATAACAACGGGGTGGCTGACGCGGTCTTCCTCGGGGAGATCGCACACCTCGCCATGGCAAGCAGCGTGCTCTCCGCATCCGAGGTCAGAGACTTCCTCCCGCCCTGCGTGGCCAAGCTCTTCCAGAACGGCGGCTTCAGCGGCTGGGAGCGCGAGTTTGGCCCGGGCGACTACGCCTGCTGCTCGTTCTTCCCGAATGACGAAACGTCGAGCCTGATAGTGGAGGGCGGGCCGGACTGCCACGTCGTCCTCTACGAGCACAGCTTCAGCGGCTGGTCGCGCGAGTTTGGCCCGGGCGAGTACGACTGCTGCGACTCCTTTCCCAACAACGACGCGAGCTCCATCCGCGTGTGGGAGGGCCCGCCGCCGCCGCCGCCCCCTGCCCCGCCGCCGCCCTCCAGCTCGCCGTCGCCGCCGCCGCCCACGCCATCTTCCTGCGACACGGCGCTGGACCTGTCCACTCAAACCTCCCCGCTGTCATTGAGCACCGACGGCGCTCCCAACACGCATGGCACGAGCTGTGGCTGCCTCGGATGGAAGCAGACTGGAGGTTGCGATCCGGATGGACCCCGCGAGTCGGGAAACGATAAGGGCTGCACCACAACGATCGAGTCTGGATGGAGCGGGTTCTGCGACTGCGGCGGCGGCCGAAAGGCTATGGAAAAGGGATGTGATCCGGCCCAATACAACACATGCGAGGTGGCGTGCTCCGGCAATGAGAGAATATTCTACGTCGAGGTGCTGCCAGGAGGCGAGCTCACGATCGGAATGACGTCCAACACGTATGACTCGAGGCACGAGACGCGTTGGGGCGGGAGCTGCCCAGGCGACAATCCCATCGCATGCACCGACGATCCGGACACCTTGCAGCACTCGTGGACCAACACTCAGGGCTCGACTCAGACGGCGTTCTTCATCGTGGACGCATACTCGTCCGGCAGCGGCGACTTTGTACTCGCGTGGAATGTCCGGTTCCCCCCCATTCCTGACCCTCCGCCACCTTCGGCGTGGTACTATGGCAAGGTCAGCTCGTACTCACAGGAGTCTCACCAGGGAGTAAACCAAAACCTCCGAGAGGCGATGGACGCGTGCCTCGCTAGCCCGACGTGCGCGTACATCCTCGACTGGAACTGCGACTCGCTCGCCTTCCTCAATCCTGAAGGCGATCCACGAGGGGCGCACGCCGCATGGCCGGGGACGGCCGCCAACGAGGTCGTGCTGAGCACAGGCGACGTCGTGGTGGTCACGAACGCGTGGCGCCTGCAATCCGCATCGGAAGTCTCGGGGCTCGTCGTCTACCCGGACAGTGGCTGGGACGACAACATTGGCAGCGACCAATACACCGACCACTGCGTCCTCGTGAGGCCGCCGCCGCCGCCGTCTCCCTTAGTGCCCTCGCCGTCCCCCTCGCCGCCAGTTTCTTCTGACGAACGGTTTCAGTCAGGGCAACTACTCAGCAGGGATGCAATCGTAGCCGCCCGCGAGGGTGTCAATTTGGCGCTTGCCTCATACAACCTAGAGTTGGGGGAGCCGTTGCCCTCTGGGCTCTCCCTGACCTCGATAATGACGTACTCTGGGCCGCAGTCTGGAGGCTATGGCTATACCGCAATGCTCAACGGAATCATGGTTTTCGGCTTCTCTGGAACGGATTTCGCGTCCACGTCCGACATCCAAGCCGATGCTGTGTCGGCCTTCAGCACCGCGGTCGAGCTCGGCGGCACGAGCTACAGTGCTGGCCTCGGCTTCGTCGGTCAGTACCTCGAGCTCAAGTACCTCCAGCCGAATGGGCTGCTTCAGACCTTAAACAGTATCAGCAGAGGCACCTTGGTGCGTGTGGTCGGCCATTCGCTGGGCGGGGCCCTCGCAAACCTGTGCGCTGTCGAGCTGGCCAACATCGGCGCCAAGGTACTCTTGCAGACCGCCGGCTCCCCACGCGTCTTCCACAGCGACTCCGACTCGTACAATAGGGCTCAGTCACTGGTGGCTCCCTTATCATCAGTGTGGGCTGAGAGCTACGCAAACATCCCAGACGGCAAGATCCTTACCCAGCGCCTCACAAACTATGGTGACAATGTGCCGTCTCTTCCGCCATCGACGTTTGGGTACAAGCACATTGGCAACGGTGGCATTTACATCAACCAGGCCATCACTTTCTGGGGCGGCGGTGACATGACGTGCACGCACAAGGACATGGACTTTACCCCGTGGCAAGATGGTGTGTCTGGGGCAAACCATATGACCGGAAATTACATCGCTCGTTTGCAGAAGGCGATAAACGACCTCGCGTGACGCGAGACCCGAGCCTGTGGCGAAGCAGGATTCTGGGATCCCGCTGGAGGCTCGACGTTGGGGCACTGCTGATGAGGTGGTGCTGCAGCGTCTGCGACTGCTCTGGAGCATGGAGTCTGCGACTGCTCTGGAGCATAGAACGCGACTTTGGCCTTGTTTGGGGGGGGGGCGGGGAAAGCGGGAAACACAGCGAAACACACGGCGGTGTTGACGCCATCGGCTGGAGCTAGAGGGCTGGAGAACGTTGGGCGTCTTTGTGTTCCCGGGCATTAACACTACTTCCGCCACCTCGGCGGTGGACACCTCGCGCGCGCGCGCGCGCGCGCGCGCCTTATCCGCGCGCGATATTTGTAGAGCCAAACTAAGGTAAGAAGGAAACTTTTTCCACACACACGAGGTGGTGGGGCAAGGGGGGGCGACCCTCGCGTCTCCCCACATCTAACGACAGGAGGAGCCCCACGGCATTAAAAGTGCGCAAGGGCCAAGGCCCAGTGCGCGCGGCGTGGGGGTGTGAGCGGTGTGTGTGTGTGTGTGTGTGTCGAGGTGTGTGTGCGTGTGTGCGTGCGTGCGTGCGTGCGTGCGTGCGTGCGTGTGTGTGTGTGTGTGTGTGTGTGTGTGTGTGTGTGTGTGTGTGTGTGTGTGTGTGTGTGTGCGTGTGTGTGTGTGTGTGCGTGTGTGTGTGTGTGTGTGTGTGTGCGTGTGTGAGGCTTTGTGTTTTCCTTCTCGGCGCGAGAACTCACTTTGAACGAGACGCATGTACATATATGCGGTCGGGCGAGGGCGGCGGCGACTGCAGCGACATCGACGCTGCGGCCAAGGACTTTGTGGCCAAGGCGCAGGTCATCCTCGAGGTGTTTGGAGAGGAGGTGGCGCTCACGGCCGCCCGCTTTGCCTCCTCGTGTGGGCGAGAGACTGTCACTGCGGAGGACATCGCCATAGCAGCAAAGTACGAGGCGCATGAGTTCCTGTCGCGGCCTGACCTCGAGGCGAAAGTTGCAGCCGCCGCGGCTAGACGAGTCGAGGACCAAGGGCTGGGCGAGGAGGAGGACGGCACGGAGGACGTGGAGTCCGGCGACGAGGATCCCGAGGCAGAGGCGGGTTCCGACGAGGACGCCGAGGAGGCGAGGACGCCATTCTCGGCAGCCTTCGTTCGCGGAGGCGCAGAGACGCGCAAGTTTCACGCGGATGCCCTTGCGCGCACACGCGGCTGGGAGTCCTGGTCGCCCGACGACCCGGCGCGGCCTCCGGCAGTGGCGCAACCAATGACGCCTCGCCTGCGGATCGAGTGGGCCTCCCTCCCTCGCAGGTGCGCTGCTTGATCAAGAGCTCGATCGACCATAGCGATGGGGCCTTGCGCCGCTCGCGCGAGGCGGAGCAGGCGTCGTGACGCGTGTGGGCAGCGTGGGGCGAGCGGCAGCCGCACAGACCACACACAGGGTCACACGTCACAGGCGGCCTCGCGCTCGTCTCGCTCTCTCGTAGACTCGGCTTTACGCAAAAGACGCGCTGCGCCACGCGAGTGCGCGCGATGTCAACGATATTACATTCAGAAAAAGAAAAGTTGTCGGTCGGCTCGCCGCGCACCAGACACCGCTGACACGTCTCCCCCCGAAAAAGCCACACACACGGGGCAGCCAGGAGCGCAGCCATGACCCGCAGTGCCCACAGCCATGACGCGTGCATCCGCCGCCAGCGCCACTACCGGCTCGGCCGAATTGTGGAGAGAGGGGGACCGCAGCCCCTCTCTCTACTGGTTGCCGCGCCCCGCCGCCTCAAAAGTCGCACGAGCCGGGGTAGCGCGGGAAGGGGATCACGTCGCGGATGTTTGGGATGCCGGTGACGTAGCAGACGAGCCGCTCGAAGCCGAGTCCGTAGCCCGAGTGGGGGACCGACCCGTACCGGCGGAGGTCGACGTACCACCAGTAGTCCTCCGGGTCGAGCCCCGACTCCTCCATCTTGCTCAGCAGCATCGGCAGCCGCTCCTCGCGCTGGCTGCCGCCGATGAGCTCGCCGACACCGGGCACGAGCAGGTCCATCGCCGCAACCGTCTTGCCTAGAGGAAGATTCAGGGAAGGTTCAGGGAAGGTACCGGGCACGAGCAGGTCCATCGCCGCAACCGTCTTGCCTACGCGCTGAATACGCCAACATCAGGCCGGGAGCACGGTATCGCATTCCGAGCACCGCGTGAGTACGAGGGGGTACGAATACAGTGAATACAGCGGAATACGGTAGAATACAGCGAGTACGCCTCCTCTCGAGCGCTAGTCGGAGTGCAAGAATACGTATTCCGCTTCTGGGCCCGTCTCGCCGTCGTCGTTGTCTCGCATGTAGAAGGCCTTGATGGCCTGCGACGGCGGTGGCGGCGAGGCATCACGGGCGGCGGGGGCGAGAGCGAGGGCGGCGGCTTGAGCGGCGGCGGCGAGGGCGACGGCGGCGGCGAGGTAAGGCGGCGCGAGGTAAGGCGCGGCGCGGGCGGCGGCGAGAGCAAAGGCGAGGAAGGGGGCGGCGAGGGGCCTTGGGGTAGTTGTAGACGAAGACGGCGCTGCCGAAGGCGACCTCGGCGAGCCACCTCTCGTGCTCGGTGGCGAGGTCCGTCCCAAACTCGACGCACGGGTACTCCCACTTGGACGGGTCCTTTGCGATCTCTGCGCGCAGCAGCTCGACCGCCTCCGTGTACGAGACGCGCGCGAACGGCGTCTCAACGAGCGCCTGCAGCCGGGCCTTGAGGCCCTTGTCGTAGAACTGCGCAAACATCGCAAAGTCGTCGGCGCACGAGCGGAGCGCGTACTGCACCACGTGCTTGACGTACGCCTCGGCGTTGTCCATGTTTGCGGCGAGGTCGGTGAAGGCCATCTCGGGCTCGATCATCCAAAACTCGGCGAGGTGGCGCGCCGTGTTGGAGTCCTCGGCGCGGAACGTGGGCCCGAACGTGTACACGTCCCCCAGCGCGCTCGCGTACGTCTCCGCGCACAGCTGCCCCGACACGGTCAGGTAGGCGGCGCGGCCTGTTCACAGCCGAAGGTGTGAAGAGACGCTGTTCACAGCTGCCCCGACACGGTCAGGTAGGCGGCGCGACCGAAGAAGTCGTCGGCGAACGGGTCGCCCACCTGCTTCTCCGTGGCCGCCTGCAGCTTCGCCTTGCGCGCGAGCAGCTCCTGCACGGCCCCGTCCACCGCCTCCTTGTCCACCACCGCCGCCTCCTTGAGCGCGCGCACCGCCTCGCCAGCAGACTTTACCGCACGGTCGAGCGCCGCGACGTCGTCTCCGCAGCCGGCGGCGGCGGCCGCAGGCTGCGCCGCCTCGCCCGCAGCCGGCAGCGTGGTGACGCGGAACATCTCGCCGGCGCCTTCGCAGTCGGACGCCGTCAGCAGCGGCGTGTGGACATGCACAAACCCGCGCGAGCGGAAGAACTCGTGCGTGGCAAAGGAGAGGGCGGAGCGGACGCGCATCGCCGCGCCGATGGTGTTGGTCCGCGGCCGCAGGTGGGCGATCGAGCGCAGGAACTCGAGCGAGTGCCGCTTCTTCTGCAGCGGGTACGAGTCCGCGGGGCAGCTGCCGACCAGCTCGACCAACGACGCCCGGAGCTCGATGCTCTGCTCCTTGGCGGGAGAGGCGACCACCTCGCCGCGCACCGCCACCGCCGCGCCGGTCGACAGCGCGTCCACCACGTCGTACGAATCGAGCCCGTCCTCCGCCACCACCTGCACACCCTTGAGCGACGAGCCGTCGTTGACCTCGACGAACGAAAACGACTTCTGCGTCCGCACGGTGCGCACCCAGCCCTTGACCACCACCGTCTCGCCCAGCCGCGCCTCGCCACCCTCGAGCAGGCTCGCCACGCGCACCCTGCTCTCGGCCACCAGGCTCGGCGGCGCAGCCGCGGCAGTGGCGGCCGCAGCCGAGGAGGACGCCGCAGCTGCGCTCGCGACCGGCGCGTGCGCGAAGCGGGAGGCGAGCACGCGCGCGCTGCGGCCGCCGATGAGCGTGCGCGTGGCGGCGGCGCGGCAGGCGGTCAGAAGCATGAGGAGCGGGAGCATGTACAGAGGAGAAAGCGTGTGTGGAGGCAGCAGTCCGGCAGCGCGAAGCGGGCGGCGAAGGGGAAATCCCAAAAATTCTTTTTTTGATTTTTCTCCGGGAACGATACTAGGGGGTTGTGTCAGAGGGGGGGGGGTCTGAGGCAAGGGGGCCCAGATCTGCTCGTCTCAGAGGGTACCCTCTGTGCCAAGAGAGGCCATCCACGAGCGGCTCAGAGGGTGCCTGGGCCGACCCTCTGAAGGCCTGTGCCGCCAAGCCAGCCTCTCTCGGCGCAGCCTCTGAGGCTACGGGGACCCTCTGAGACGCCAAGGCAAGCCCCGCGAGGCCGCTCCTCAGAGGGAGTTTTCAGCGGTATTTCAAGTCTGTCGTGATCCCCCACCAAGCAGAGAGAACCCCCCCCAGCCAAGCAGAGAGAACCCCCCCCCCAGCAGGCCCAGCTTCCATTGGTTTCGGATACCTCAAGTTCGAGTTCACTAGGACGCCGCGGCGCCTCATGGCCAAGCTGGAGCAGGGGACGGATGTGGAGATCACTACCTCCTCCTCGGGCGGCCGCTCCAAGCACATCCTCACTCAAGTTGACGGGTCGGCGGCGCCGCTGCGCGCTGGCCGCGCGAAGCTGTCGCGCAGGGGTCGGCGCGGGCGCTGTGGGCGAGCCTGCAGCAGCAGCAAGCGTAGAGTAGCGCCTTAGTCATGCTCGCTGCTTCCGCCCCCTCCCCGCCCTCCCTGGTCAGCGCCGTTCGTGGAGGGCTAGGCGCTCCGGCCTCCGCCCGGGGCTCTCGCGACTCGCCTCTGTCTGCCGAGAGGGGGCTACCCTCTGAGGTCAACGCCCTCTGTGCCGCGCCAAGACAGACCCTCGGCCGGGGACCCTCTGAGGCCAAAATCAGCCAAGAGAGGCCACAGAGGCGGCACAGAGTCAGAGTCAAACCCTCTGTGCCGCCAAGGCAGGGGTCCGACCCGTCCTCAGAGGGGGGTCTGAGGCCTCAGAGAGTGTATAACCCCCTAGTGGCACGATCGGGTCGCCCGGCGCGCGCGGCACAAGCGCGCCCGGCCCTCCGAGTATGTCGACCAGGTACTACGAGGGAACCTGCGAACGAGGGAACCTGCGAGAGCACGAAGGATTTCTCTGACTGATGCCGCAGTTTGGGCTCGGCCTAGTTTGCCTCTCGCACCCCGTCTGTTTTCCTTTCCTTTTTTCTCTACAACACCCTCTCTTTTCCTCTCTCCTTTCCCGGGAAAACTCCGTGGAAAATCGTCAAATTTTGGGCTCTGAGCCGAGTCTGAGAGAGAGATTTTTATTAACCAACAAGAAATCACGACTCTCACAGTGGTTTGGGCTCGGCAGCTTGTCTGAGGCTGGTTTGGGCCCAAAATCAGCCAAATTTTAGGCCAAATCGGCAAAATGCCGGGAATTTTGCGGAGAACCCGTGCATACCTGGAATTTATCCTGCGACCGCCTTGGCATTTTGTCGATTTCCTCAATTTTGCCTCAGATTTTGCGTTTTTGCCCCAGACCAGCTCTCAGACTCAGGGAAAACAGCGAGTTTCCAGAATGGAGCACCAAACACCCTCTGTTTTCCCTGGAAATTTCCGGAAACGCAAAGTGCTGGGGACCCTCTGTTTTCCTTTTTGTTTTCCGGAAAACTAGGCCGAGCCCAAGCTGCCGCAGTGAGTGAGTGGTCCCGGGCCCCGCGGGGAACTAAGACGGCGCAAGTTAGTCACCGAGGAGCGAGGGCTAGTGCTGGTGCGCCGAGGCGGGCCGCTCGTTCGTAGTGCCCTTCGCCGGCGGACGGAGCGACGGAGGCGAGCTCTCCTCGCGGCATATTTTGGCCCCTCGCTCGAGTTTTCTCCTCGCGCAAGGACGACTCTTCTGATCATTTCCCGTCAAGTCATGTCGTTGCTCAGGTCCACTCTCGTTTCGGAGGTAGGTAGGTAGAAAGGTGAAGAACAGCCAGGCTCGGACTGGACACCAACGCGGTATGGGTGGACGCTGGACAGATGATGACGACACGCACGAGCGACACACAGACACAAACAAGCTCACAAGACACACAGCCAGCTGGCTGCCACACACCCTGAGTTGGCGTACACATAACTCAAGGCCACATCCTCCCTGTCGCCCCCCCCAGCACTCCAAGGTGCCAAGAGAAACAAACAAGGCTCAAGGGCACAACAAACAACAGACGACAGGAAGTGACATGTGAGGCTAGAGCAGCATGCTCCACCTCTAGCAATCTCTCCGGCCGGCGAGGCACGGACGAGACCGTATGTGGGGTCTAGTGAGGTGTCTATGGTCGCCCTCCTCACGGGGTCTAGTGAGCGTGGGGATTTCTTTTAGGCTAAGCGCCGCAGACTCGGCGTTCGCTAGCCTCGGGCTGTGCCTCTCAGGTACCGACGGCGCACGCTCTCCCGACGCGCCGCGGACGCCCAGTCGCCACCCCCGCCAGCGGCCTCGCCTCGCTTGCCCCCCCCCTTGCGCCTCGGCCGCCCGTCGCCGCCCCTCGGTCGTCGGTAGCCTTTCGCCGCGCTCCCTGCCGCGCATCGGCGGCCGACCTCCGCCCGCCCGCTCCCCCCCCTCCGCAGAAGCCCCCCCCCCTCGCGGCAGCCATGGCGATGCGCGGGCTGACCGTCTTCATCTCGGACCTCCGCAACTGCTCCTCCAAGGAGCAGGAGGAGAAGCGGGTCGAGAAGGAGATGGCGCACATCCGCTCCAAGTTCACGTCCGACTCCAACATGAACGGGTACAACCGCAAAAAGTACGTGTGGAAGATTCTGTACATGTACATGCTCGGGTATGAGGTCGACTTCGGCCACATGGAGGCCGTCAACCTCCTCTCCTCCCAAAAATACTCTGAGAAGAGTGTCGGGTACGCGTGGTGCGCGCTGATGCTGCGCGAGGGGGACGAGCTGCTGCGGCTAATCATCAACTCGATCCGGGTGGACCTGATCTCGCGGAACGACAACGCGGTCTGCCTCGCGCTCAACTCCATCTGCAACGTCGGAGGCAAGGAGTTCGCCGAGACCCTCTCCAACGACGTGCTCAAGCTGCTGACGCACAACATCACTAAGACGTACGTCCGGAAGAAGGCGGCGCTGACGGCGCTGCGGCTCTTCCGAAAGTCGAACGACACGCTGCCGGCGGAGCAGTGGGCGGACCGGATTCTCGCCCTCCTCGACGAGAAGAACATCGGCGTCCTCACCTCGGTCACCTCCCTCGTCCTTGGCGTCCTGGCGGTCGACTCGGCCGGCTGGGAGGCGGCGGCACCAAAGGCGGCGCGCACGCTGACGCGGCTCGTGCTCAACAAGGACTACTCGAACGACTACCTGTACTACGGCATCCCCACCCCGTGGCTCCAGATCAAGCTCCTCAAGGTGCTGCAGCACTTCCCGCCCCCCGAGGAGCACGCACTCAAGCTGCGCGTCTCGGAGGTGCCGCCGCCCGGCCCGCACCGCCGCCCGGCCCGCACCGCCGCCCAGCCCGCACACATCTAGCCGCGAGGGCGCAGAGAGGGCGCAGAGAGCGCGCAAGAGGGGCAGCCGAGACGCACCCAAGCTGCAGCCTGCAAGCTGCGCATTGCAGAAGCGACGCCGCTGCCCCGATGAGCCAGCGGACAAAAGAAGACCTGCCTTAGAGCCGGCAGACACCCTCTCCCCACCACCACCACCACCACCACCACCACCACCACCACCACCACCACGTGCAGGCCCCTCTTCTCCATCCCCGCCACCCACGCCCGCCGCCACCGCCGCTCGCCTCCCGCTCTCCCGCCCTCCGATCCCGCACGGCGCGCCCCCTCGCCCGTGGCCGCAGGTGCTGCAGCGCATCGTCTCCGGCACCGAGGTGACCAAGAACGTCAACAAGAACAACGCGACGCACGCGGTGCTCTTCGAGGCGATCAACCTCTCCATCCACCTCGGGCAGTCGTCCGAGACGCTGCCGCAGTGCATCAACTTGCTCGGTCGCTTCATCTCGATCCGCGAGGCAAACATCCGCTACCTCGGGCTCGACACGATGGCGCGCCTCAGCCAGGAGCAGCCGCACACGCTCGACGACCTGAAGAAGCACCAGTCGACGATCCTCTTCTCGCTCAAGGACCCGGACATCTCGATCCGCCGCCGCGCGCTCGACCTCGTGTACGCGATGTGCGACACCGCCACCGTCAAGGAGACGGTGAGCGAGCTGCTCAACTACCTTGACAACGCGGACGACCACATCAAGGAGGAGCTCGTCCTCAAGATTGCCATCCTGTCGGAGCGGTTCGCGTCGGACAACTCGTGGTACGTGGACGTGGTGCTGCAGCTCGTCCGCTCGGCGGGCGACCAGGTGGCGGACGAGGTCTGGTACCGCATCGTCCAAATCGTCACCAACCAAGGCGAGGACCTGCAGCGCTACGCCGCGCAGGGCGTCTGGACCATCCTGAACGCCGAGGTGCTGCCGCACAAGAACCTGGTCAAGGTGGCCGGCTACGTGCTCGGCGAGTTCGGGCACACCATCGCGGAGTCGCCCGGCTCCTCGCCCTCGGAGCAGATCACGCTGCTGCACAAGCACTTCCGCAACGCCGACCCGGACGTGCGCGCGCTGCTGCTCAACACGTACGTCAAGATCGCGCACACCTACGCCGAGGTGGCGCAGATGGTGTCCGAGGTGATGCAGCAGCACTCAGCCGCGATGGACCAGGAGGTGCAGCAGCGCGCCGCCGAGTACATCTCGCTCTCCGCCCCGTCGCTCGCCTCGATCAAGGGCACCGTGCTCGAGATGATGCCGCACTTCACCGAGCGCGAGTCCATCGTCTCCAAGGCGCTCGCCTCAAAGTCGAAGGGCGACGACCCGGAGGCGCCGACGAGGCGCGTCGAGCCGCGCGCAGAGGCTGCGCACGCCGAGGCGGCGCCGCCGCCGCC